TGGGGGGGGGGGGGGGCGGGGGGGGAGGGGCGGGGCCCACAGCCGGTGGCAGCAGCGGCCACAGTCAGACGTATGAATGTCCCGTGGCTTCCTGACGGCTGCGGCCGTACACGCTGTGCACCGTACGGTGACGTTGAGGGGCCTCACTCAGGGGGTCATCTGTGTCTGACCGTGTCACTTGTGTGGACGTTCGCAGGGCGGTGGGCAGTCCGCTGGTGATGGACTCCAACAGTATCTGCAGGAAGGCAAAGCGACTGGCAGGAAAGCAGGCCGAGCTGTGTCAGACTCAGCCGGAGATCGTCAGTGAGGTGGCCAAAGGAGCCCGGCTGGGAGTCAGGGAGTGCCAGTACCAGTTCAGGTACCGACGGTGGAACTGCACCAGCCATAACAGATACTTTGGCAAAATACTGCAGCAAGGTGAGTAAACAGACCAATGGCTGTGGTACATTAGCCTCTCTCTCTCTCTCTCTGTCTCTCTCTCTCTCTGTCTCCCCCCAACAGTCCCTGAAAGACCAAGATGTTTGTGTCTCTAGAATAAACTAAAAAAAGGTTTAGTTTTGTCATAGAAAATACATCGTGGAGAACACGTAAAGTACTGCATTGTCCACCGTGGATTTTCTGTCACATTTGCTGCATATTGTCAAAGTCATCCTGAAAAAAATGTGCATGAATATTTTCTCCATGTTGGAGTTTTCCAGTTTATGCTGAAAAATCCTGCTTTTGAGTATTTCTGGTGTAGCTTGGAAAATACTGCATCCTAGATTTTTTTTTTCTCCAGGTTACCCCAGAAAATACTGCGTAGGAGTATGTTGTACCTGAGAAGACGTAGTATTTATTAGTACAGTGTATCCTGGAGAATACTGCACATCACCATGAAACACAGGTGTAGTATTGATAACGCAGTATTTTCCAGTAACATACTGGGACATACTGCCTGGGAGTATTTTCCAGGATACACGCCACCTGTGAGCAGAAAGAAAAAGAAAAACTCTGTTTCACTGGTGACTCAAAATATTGTCACGGCCCATTTGTCAAAGCCGACTGCCTTAGGATCTGAACCCGTGACCTCGGGGCCACAGCCAGCGGCCTTACGTCAACCTGAGGTCACAGCCCTTTCTGATGGCAGCGCAGCAGACAAGAGCAGCTGTTGTGTTTGAGCGCAGACATATTCACACATGGCTGGCTCTCCTCTTCATCAGATTGGGAATGCTCGAAGTGATCAGCTAAGATCTGCTGACATCCTCTTTGAAGTCTGTAATAAAACTGATGCTGGGTCAGCGCCGGGTCCTCTGTAATTACTGTGCTGCTTTTTGTTCTTATGAGATTAAATTCATAGCGAGGTGCCGGCCTCTGATTGGTGCTCCTGTCAACCAACAGGCAGGAAGTATTTAAATTCTGTTCGACCTGAGTGTTTCCAGGCCAAATATCAAAACAGTTCTATTTAGAAGCATCATTTTTCCAAAAAGAAAGTTTTTCCTGATCATGGTTCAGACGTGACCCTCATGTTTATTCTCTTCATTTTTAATTTGATTATTCCTTCCTTTGGACGTTGGGAACACTCTCTTCATCTTCATCTGTTACTGTGACATCATGTAGCTCGGTCTGACACGGTGGTTCAACGGCAGGTTGTTTTGTTTCTTATCTAATTCTTATTTATCACACCAGCCGCCGTGCCAGTGTCTCTGGCAGGAATAGAAAGAAACAAAAAAGAATGAAGACAGGAAGATTGAAACCACGAGAAAGAGCAGGGAACGGAGAACAAGAATGTACCAGCAGACGAGAGACCAGCAATTAATCATAAATTCCAGTGTGTCTATAAGAGGCCGGAGTGCCTCTCTGTGTTCAAGTCTTTGTCCTCAATTACCTGGAGTTGCTCTTAATGGCTGTTTATCATGAACTCCAACCAGTAAATGTCAAAATAAAAGCCTCTCTGTGTTTAAGAGGAGTGGTTTATTTAACCTCATTGACCTCGACTTAGAGTTTATTCAACAGTCTTTGCTCTTCAATTATGGTCATGGTGTCACTGCGTCTTTGTAGTAAATGAGACGGTGCCGTCAGTGCAGGTGGTTTGGACCAGACTGTTGGATTTCTGACTGTTCTGTTTGGGTCTTGACCCACTGTAGTTCACAGCATGTTGTCAGTTCATGTCATTTTTGCAGACGTCATGACGGGTTCATATCTCTGCGTCTCTTCTTGCCCCCCGTGTATTGGGACTCGTGCGCCAGTTTTACCGGCGTATCGGAGGATTGTGGGTTTGAATCCCGTCCTAGTGTGTTGAGCAACAAGGAAGAATTTATCTTGTGATCCAGAACTTTTTCAACTTTGTCGTAGAAGCTCAGAGCTCAGACGCTCCGGTAAAGGTGATTTAGTCGTAGAAGCTCTGGGCTCAGACGCTCCGGTAAAGGTGATTTAAAAAAAAAAAGTTGTGACAAAGGTCAAGCTAATGCTAGCGTGCGTGTCTGCACACCGACTCCGTCTCGTTCAGCCGTCATCATGCCAGGAGCATGGAAAGAAAAACCTATTAATGATAAAATTGCTGAATTCCTTGGTATGGATGACTGTTGTACAGCTGGCCGCGATACATTTTAATATCTCACAAAAAATGTTGCATTTGGAATTTGTTTGAACTTGATCTGTTAGAGAAATGACAGGCCTGTGATGAACTGGATCATGGAAACATCACATGTCACGCTGCATGATGCAGATATGTTGTGCGTGTACCTGGTCTGTTTGTACTGCAGTAACCCGGCTCATAACTACGGTAAATACTGCAGTCATGTGGATAAACACTTATATTTAATGTTTTAAAGTGTGTCAGATTCACACCCACATGTTCGATAACAGAGGTTTGGATGATTTCACAACATTTTCAGATCCTGCCACTTCACGTGCTTATTGCGAAAAGTGAATGAATGAACGTGTTGTCACACGAATGACAGCCTCCTTTTTGGTGGAATCAAAATAATCTCTCCTCTGGACATGAAGCTTTTACGTAGAGCCGGCTCTGGAACAAGGTTGAGTTTCTGGTTTTACGTCATTAATTGGAGGTTATTATCATCTTTTCCTTGATCTCCACTGTGTTTAAATAACACACGGACCCCGGAGCAGTCATACCTGGCAGTGCGAGCCAGCCGGCATACAGTGATGCTGATAATCTTATAAGAGATGCTGCGGCGTTTCCTTGAAAGCCCTGGGAGATGGTGTGTATGAATACTGGTGTTTAACATTTCAATGCTATAGAATGAACTTTAGCTCTGGGCTGTACAATGGTTGCACATTAAATAAACCAATCATCAGTCATGTCAGAAATTTAAGGATTTTCTCATAAGTGCTCTTTACACGCAGACGCAGGTGTCGAGACATAAAGACGTGTGAACAGGTTTATGCGCTGCAGCCTCTGCCGCACGAAGTTTTCCAGGAGTTTATTTACTGTCATGTCAGACGTTAGCGTATGTGATCTGAAAGAAATGTAGACACGAGAACTACATCATGACTTTTACGTCTGTGAGGAAAACTAGAGGGAAAAGAAAACGTAGGTATGTCTGTGAAGAAAACTAGAGGGAAAAGAAAACGTAGGCGTTCACGACAACGCAGTTCCTTTGTTCGTATTGTGAGGCTAGCTCAGCTGGTAGCGCACGAGACTCGTGACATCATCGTCTTTGGCCTGTTACTTTTTCTTTGGGGGGGCGGCTGCTGACCTGGTGGTAAGAGGATGAGGTTACTTTTTTTTGGGGGGGGGCTGCTGACCTGGTGGTAAGAGGATGAAGCTTGTTATCAGAGGGTTGCAGGTTTGAATCCCACATTGGATGTGGTCGTGAGCAATGTCCCTTGGTGGAAGTATCGATCACTGCTGCCCAGGAACGGGATGAAGGGAATGTGAGAGGAAAATATTTGTTTGTTTTATTTGAACATCAAAATAGTAAAATTAGAGACGTTTCATTTTTCACGTCTGAACCAAAACATTTCTACAGATATAACTGGGACTAACTTAGTCAGAAGAGTTAAACACTGATACTAGATCAAACTGGTCTGTAGTCCAAAGAGAGTTAGACACTGACCCTGGTGTTTTCTTGGCTCTTAACCTCTGCAGTGATTAGATCCTGCAGGGTATGTAGTAGCCCGACCTCCTGACCCCCCCACACCCCCCCCCAGACATTACAGCCCCTGGTTTATTATTATTTACAGTTACTCAGTCTGACTAGTAGCCACTGCAGGCGCCTCCTCGTACGAGACCCGCGCTGCAGTTTGACTTCAGAGTCGGGCCATTAGAAAGTCTGTGCTAATTCTTGCAGAAGGGTTTTGTGGAATTAGAAGCAGACACAGACAGGTCCAGACACCCGCCATGGCAGAGAATTTGTTTGGAATTCATGTCTCAGAGGAAAATATGAAACAGGTTGCTTAAATCATCAGGTTTTTGATGGCTTCTTTGTTCAGAACAACAGAGCATCTTAGCCTCGATTGTTCCTGCCCCCCCCCCTCAGTTTATGTCGTCTGTCTTATCGTTCCATCCACTTCTTAATTTCATCATATTTCGCTACACGTTTTAACTGCTGACAAGTTTTAGCTGGCAAAAACCGAGCACCAAAAAATGTAAACATATATCGAATGTCACTGTTGGAAACATCCCTGCTGCGTTTAAGGACATCTGGACCAGTTGGCTGCTTGTTTGGATGTGGTTGTTGTTGTTGTTATCAACATATTGTTATAATAATGAGGCCTGAGCTAATGTTACCCCCCCACCTCCACCCCTCCCCCCTCCTCCCACACACACACACACAGGACTCCAAGATAAATCCAGTAAACCAGAGTAAACTCTAAAGACGACACATCTTGATTTTGTTTTGTGAGGCACTACTGCAGGAGCGTTAAGGTGTGGTCTGTTGTTGCACTCATTTCAGCGCTAACACACACACATACACACACATATACATATACAGGGGTACATTTCGTGGCCCAGTGTCCTGACCTTTAGCATCAGTATCCCACCTGTGGCCAGTCTTCAGAGATCAGAGTGGATTCTGACCCCTGACCTCTGACCCCTCCCCCCCGCTGTCGTCGTCATCGTCCTGATGAGAGCGTACACGCAGCCTGGCGTTGTTCAGAGTCAGAGTCAGTCGACCTGTGAGACGCCGTGTTTGAACCAACAGAAACCAACTCCCCACACACACATACCTGTACCAGTTCTCCTGGGGTCACACACTGGTGTCGGGGCGTACAGCTGGGACTGATATTATGGCGCACTGGGGTGTGCAGGTTCTGTCGCACGCCATCTGTGTGTGTGCGTGTGTGTGTGTGTGTGTGTGTGTGTGTGTGTGTGTGTGTGTGTGTTAAGGTTTCTAATGGATCCCACTCTCTGAATCATACAGTATGGAGTTGGCAGAGTTGATCTGGATGACTCCATGCTCCGTGTGTTTCAGCTCCTCAGCAGTGAAGCCCTCTCTCTCTCTCTCTCTCTCTCTCTCTGGTTCTCCTCCGCTCGCCCTCGCTCTGTCTCAACAAGTGGCTGAGGTTTTTGGTTTTAATGTCATTTTATGAAAACATTTGTTTTATGTTTATTTGTCCACCTGCTGCAGCGGTCCTTCAGAATACACACACACACACACACACACACACACACACACACACACCGAGAACTAAAATACAGACGTACAAAAATATGTATGTTTATATAAATATATATATACAGTATATTAATGTACTGACTGTTCAATGTCTGGTCTCCAACAGGATGATAATCAACATAAAACAATAATCTGCATAAATATATATATGAATACACTACATTAAACCTTTAAAAAAAAAAAAGAAAGCTGCGTTTTTCAAGGATAAGATGATTTTTTGTGATCCTGTGATTGATTACAGAGGAACAAACAGACATCATCAGCATCATCATCATCATCATCATCATCCACTGTGATGAAGTTTTCCGTCTGTGTGAACGTTGTATCAACATCTTATCTCATGACACTGACAGGACTGGGTTTTGGAAGTGAAAGCCGGTTCTAATCCCGTGTTTGGAGTTCTGCTGTCGACCTGTGTGACCCGTCATTGTCTGATTCCACAGACTAAACCGCTGACCTTCTCTCTCTCTCTCTCTGTGTGTGTCTTTATCTGCAGATATTCGAGAGACGGCGTTTGTTTACGCCATCACCGCGGCGGGGGTGACTCACGCCGTGACCCAGGCCTGCAGTATGGGCGACCTCCTGCAGTGTGGCTGCGAGGCCACCAGGAACAGAGCTCCACCCAAGCCACCGTCCTCCTCCTCCTCCTCCGAGGACGGGGTCAAGTGGGAGTGGGGGGGCTGCGGAGATGATGTGGAGTTTGGTTACGAAAAGTCCAAACAGTTTATGGACGCTAAGAGAAGGCGGGGCAAGAGTGACATCAGGACGCTGATCGATCTGCACAACAACGAGGCCGGGCGGCTGGTAAGAACCGCCCGTCTGAGTCGTAACAGTTCAAAATAACTGGGCTGGCGTTTTAACGGCTCTGATAAAAACTGCTGTGCAGCTCTGATGTTTCACTATACTTCAGCTTTAGCACCGACGGTGTTGCATGTCCTGCGGAATATTCTTCATTCCAGGAACATGCTTGGAAGAAAGACGTAGCTCCCAGCCATGTTTGTGTAGCGCCGTAAGCTGATATTCTGACAAGAATCAGGTTTCTGAAACACAAAAACAAGAGCGTGCCACACATTTTGTTTTCAAGCCTCCCGGGCAAGTAGCGTCTAACATTTCGACAGCCCCTGTTCACGTTTAAAGTTCCTCTTTGTTGCCCGTGTGAGCGTAGAGTGAGTTATGGCCACGACAAGTCAACGAGCACGGGTAACGCTGCGACTATTCCCACGAGTTAATTACCATGTAATAAATGTAATATTCACAGGGGAGCCCAGTCGGTCCACCATCACAGCATGACTCTCACTGGTGTCTCACTGGTGTCTCACTGGTGTCTCACTGGTGTCTCACTGGTG